GAAGAGTATAAACAAACAAAAGAGGGGAAAGGAATGACCGGGAAGGTAAGTAGAAAGAGCATCAAAAGAGCATGATTCTAATAAAACCAGGGAAGCCTCTTGAGCAGGGGTCCTCGACCTTCCCAATGCCGCTACCCTTTAATGCAGTTCCTCATGTTGTGACCCTCAACCATTAAATTATTTCTTTGATATTTCATAACTGTAATTTTCTTCTGTTATGAATCGGGTGACCCCTGTTAAAGGGTCGTTCGACCCCCAAAGGGGTTTCGACCCACAGGTTGAAGACCGCTGCCCTTGAGGAAGCTGAGGGATGGTAAACAAAGGATGGGAAGGTCAGCAAAATAAGTATTTACAAAGGGCTAGAAGGGAATGTTGCCGGGGGTTGTGGTTCCTCGAGTTGAAGGGCTCATCCTTGACAGTCACCAGCAGAGGGCAACCTAAACATACGTTATTTCTACTTCAGAACCAGGCAGGCTTTGGGGAAATAGATTTTTATGCCCAATCTCAGATGTTTGGTGGAAAAACACTGGTAAAGTAGATTGCAATCAAAGGAAGATATTTATAACAGTGGACCTGGGTTGTGTGCAAGGGAGAGAGAAGAGAACCTAAAATAAGATCTTAGTTTGAATACTGACTCATTCGACCTTAACACGTTCTTTACCTTTTTGAATGTCAGTTTCCACTCTGCCAAAGGAAAATCATAGCCTATTTCACCAAAACCCTTTTTACCCCATAAGCCTTATAGGCTATAAAATATTTTAACATTGACAATAACAACGACCTCATTTCTCCTCTCCTTTTTCATTCAGAGCAGGAATCTTCTCTACAGCATGCTGAGTAGACAGTCATCATAGTAAAATTCATAAGTATAACAAAGCCCATAATAATATGACAAAATGTAATTTAAGACCATCAACTGATAATCATGATTAATAATGAAACTCATAACTGATTCTATTGTTAGTAGTAGCTAGCTGAAATGTCCTGTAATTTCAGCCAGCGGATACTAGCTGAGCTTTCTGACATAACCTAGAGTGTGTGTCTCTGCTAAATCAGACCTTGGCAGTTGGTTGAAGACGGGCACCTGCCGTGCTTCAGAGTCTGTTCTGCAGCTAGCTGACTCTCCTACTTTCAGGCAGATTTCAGTAGCAGTATTTCTATCATCTTCATAACTCCTTATATTTGTGTAGTGCTCTAGTGATGCTTTTGATACACACTTTTCTCATTTGATATCCAGACCGTACCCATGAGATGAAAGTATTAAGTGAAATGGGTATTATTCCTATTTCATAGGTTAAAACTGGCATGGAAAGCGGTCATAGCTATGCATCATTATAAAACCAAAGTCAGTATGTAAGAGTATCTTACAGATTAACTCATCAACTCATCATTACATATGACCTACAGGCCCTGGTGAGGTGGTAGTTAAGCACTGGACTGCTAGCCAAAAGGCCAGTGGTGTAAAGTCACCAGTGGCTCCTTGGGAGAAGAGACCTGACCATCTGTTCTCAAAGACTACAGCCTAGGCAATCCATGGGACACTTCTCCTCAGACCAACAGGGTCGCTATTGGTCAAATGGACTTGGCTACACACACGTTTGACTTAATTATTGTGGCTCTCAGGTGATTGTAATCTAGTTTCTTAGTGCTTTTCCAGGAATACTTGAAATTGAATCCAAAATTCAGGTAATAATCCATTTATTGAGTACACAGTGCCTATTTACGGTGTATGTTTAATTGAAAATGTACCTAAGATTTTGTATGTTGTGTGTTTTTATTAATTGATTGAATCCTGCCCCCCCCCTTATGCCCCTAGATCCAAGGCCCGTGACACTAAAGTACTGATAGAAGACACAGACGATGAAGCTAACACTTGAGTTCCCAGAAGTCTAGATGAGCATCCTTGGTTTCCTTCTCTTCAGTTCCCTCCTCGACCAACGCACCCTCTAGAACCTTTCCAGCTGGAACAGAAGACGCAGAACACATTTCCCGAGCTCTTCCAGATCGGATCCTATGGACTCCAAACAAGCTCACTGTGTTTCTTTTCTTTCTTCTGGTTTAATTTTAATTTTCTAGTTTTAAAACAAATATTTACTTCATTTTGCCAATCAGAGGACATTTTGAGGAACAAAAACATAGTATCCAATGGATTGTTTACAATCACAAGGACATAGATACCTATCAGGATGAAGAACGGGACACACGGACCTTCTGATGGGACGGTACCGAGTTAGCTCGGCTTCCGGTTGGCCTGGTTTTGACTGGTTAAAACCGGACATTGGTTTTTAAATTTTTTGTCAGTTTATGTGGAGAAATGTTTCCTTTCCTTCATACCCAGCGCAAAGGCACTGGCTGCACTTGCAGGGAAAGTGCAACGTAGGACAGTACCTTCATTCATGAAGCTACTTTTTAATTTGATGTAACTTTTCTTATTTGTGGGAGGGTTGCTGGGTGGGTGGGAAATAGGATGTATTTGTTACATACCGTTTTTCTCATTATTTATGAACCTTAACCATAAGAGAATGAGAGGCGTAACTCCTGTGCAGTGAAGGTGATAACGTGAAGAAGGCAGGGGAATGGTGACGAGTGCTTGAGAGGGCTCAGTCACACAGGAAGTACTTCTTGGATGAAACACCTGGCCACCAATTTGGACTTTTCTTTTTAATTGTAAACCAAAGTTTCTATTGCTGGCTTTTTTAGTTGCTATGGCGTTAAAGTCTTGAGCCTGTCTCTCGTTAACATACACACTTTCACACACTGGTTAAAATTTATGTAAGAGTCCAGACCTCCCCCACTCCCCTTAAGGAACAGATGTGGAACACAGTTGCCCACACCCGCTTATACCCACTGAGATCGTGCTTTCCTGTGCGTCCACGTGGAGGGTACTTGCAGGGAAGCTTTTCTGAACTCCAAGTTAGAGGACAAAGTGGTTACAGAGAGAAATAACCCTGTGCCCTCATCTTTCTTCTGGACTCATGCACTTGAGCCACAATTTGATCAAATGTAGACATCTGTCATGGAGAGATGGTGATTGAGCACACAGAACAAATTCTCCTTCCTCCTTAACAATACATTGACAGCTAAGACAAACCGTAGCAGCAGTTTTAAGGGACGAACATTAGATTTCATGGTCTCCCACAATAGTCGATATTGAGAGTCTAAAGTTGGTAATACATTTTTTAAGTATTTCTTAGAAATTTCCAGCTATCATAGTCTGCATGCATTACCCATTTCCACTTCTCTGTATCATTTTTTCACTTTGCCCTGGAGTCATCCAAATTGCTCTAAACCCATAAGAGATTTTACTTCTTTTGAATATGGTTGGCATTAAATTTAGTGTTTCTTTCATTATTTAACAAAATTAACAAGACACAAAAATAAAGTGTCTTTTAACCACTTCACCTCCACCCAAATGGAGAGGAAAATTTCAGAGTATTCATTTCTACCTGTGTGATTGACAGCAGTTGTCACATGAAGTACTTCACATTGCATACTGACCTGTTCCTGATCCCCATGCTACTCGAGAATCAACAGCAGTGGATTCATCCCAGCAAATTACTTCTGTCATTTTCAATTTGGTGTAGACAAAGGAGTCAGGAAGTAGAAGGGGCAGCGCTCATCACTTAGTCTTATAAACATTTGGCTCTGCCCTTCAATCCACCCTTTTCATTCCACCCCTTATATCACAAGTCTTTAGTCACCCCGTCATAACTTCAGGAGACTGTATTAAAGTTACGCTTAGCACTAAAGTGCTATCAATTAACTGACAAGTAGTTGGGGTTTTTTTAAGGAAGTTTCTTCCATCTTTGTTCTGACAATCTTCTAAAATTTCCTTTTCAGAGTAGAGAGGATTTTTTTTGTTTGTTTTACTGGAAAATCATCCAATTTCCTGGCTTTGGTTGCTATTTTTTTTGGGGGGGGGTGTGCTTTGCCAAGCATGTCCTGTGGCCCAGAACTAAAGAGAAACCATTTAATTACTGAATTTGGGGGTTGGTTTTTTTTTTCCTTTTTTCAGTATTTTAGTTTAAATAAATCAAATCACTTATAATAATCAGTGGTAACAATTTAGTGACCCTTGATAGATTAAAGATTGCATTATTTAAACTTGAGATTTTTACCCCCTACCTATTGGTTTGTACTATTGAGGGAGAGGGATGCTATCACTGGTCTGTCAAGAAACAGCAGTAATTATTATGAGATTATATAGATATGTCCAGTGGGCCAGTTTTTTCTTGTGCAAATAAAATTGGTGGTACTAATGTGTATCCAGAGCTATTTAAATGGTAAGCTTCATTCTCTCACAAGATCATACAGTTGACTTTTAGTATTTGAACTCCCTAATCTTTTCACTTTACTGTATCCTGTGGGCATTAGGGCTTTTGTCTTTCCTTAGAATCCTTGGCCCTAAACAGTATTATTTTTTTTATAGATTGAACAGTGTATCCCTTTTATGATGTTTGTCCTTTTGGCATAATCTAGTTAAGACTAGAAAGACTCAATGTAACAGCCTACCTGAAAGATGCTCAAATATGCATTTAAACTCACAGCTTTATGCTTGTCTTAAAACTCCAATGAGAAGTTTTCCTCCACAGGAAAGGTAGGAAACATACTGTAATGTGTAGGATTTTTCCTTTTAAAAGGCAACATGCATTTTACTCTCAATTTTGATAGAACCAAGCTTGGAGTGTGCTAAACCGCTCCTGAAGTTTTATTGGTGTACAAAATAGAAATCATAATCATTTTAAAGAGAAGCAGCCCACCCAAAGGTAGACTGTGTCTGATTCTAGGTTTAGAAATGCAGGTTTAATTTTATTTGAAAGACTCAATTTAGGATACCAGTGAAAATTCTCCTCAATAGAACAGCAAAGTAATATAAACAACAGAAGTAAAATTCATTTTTCATTTTATGATAGGTCGTGTAGAAAGCAGACAGAATTGGTTTCTTTCCTGTGCACAAATAAGCCTGCATATACTACTACAACAGAATAGTTGATGGATTTTTAACCATACAAGGAGGCACCAAAAGGACAGCAAAGCAATCATCATTAATTAGGTTGTAATAGGTATTTGTAAGACTGGAGAGAGTTAAAAACCCAAGTGCAACTTTGGTTCCTAGCATCTGCCATTGAACTCCTTAGAAGAGCTGCTTAGCTTCAGATTCAGAAGCCACGGTCTGAGAAGATGCCCGTCACCCCAGCAGTAGCCTCCAGGAAAATAACAAACCAAACCCCTTGCCACTCTGTCAGTTCTGTACCCTAGGGTCTCCAAGGCTATAATCTTTACAGAACCCCTGCCATCCATAACTTCCCAAGATTCTTAAGCAGTTCTGTCCAAGACTTTAACTAAGCTTTGACTAGAGGAAACTTGTTGAGACACGGTGTCCATCCACCATGGTTTGACCAAAAGGACATTTGCACGTTCACTCGAGAAAGAAAAGTGCATCCATCTCTTAGCAGTTATTCATTCTAAGGGAAGACAGGAACAGAACAAGAAGAGAAGTAATTGGGAGCAGCAGAGAGGAGCAGGAGGTGCTGGGCGTTGGTTCGGAGCAGGGTAGTTCAAACCCGGGCCTGTTGATCTGAAGATGAAGACTCATGGCTGTTATGTTGCTGCTGAGACACCTACCTGCCTTTGTTGTCATGCCACTGTTTTATTTAAAATTCAAGAGTCTGAAGTGATTGCACTTTATTTGGTAAACATTTCAGATTATAATTGTCTTAACAGTGTGGAAGAAACTTGCCTAACACCCTCAAAAAAATGAGTATTCCTTACTGTATAGTGTATTTGAATTTTTAAAATTACACTAGCTGCAAAGTTTTTTTCCTGAAAAAATATTACTGAATGAATGACTTTCTAACTATAAAATGATGATGTTTGTCTCATCTCAGACAAAAACCAATGTCACCACAGGTAAGATCTATTAACTAGGTGAAGACTAGAAGTTCTTGCAGACCTTTTTAACAAGGTAAAGGAGATTCAATCAAATGTATCCACTTAGTTCCTTTCCTCTCTGGTGGGTCTAAGATACATTTCTTGCTGCTGGCCATTAGCTGAAGCACAGAGTTTTTCAGTTCCTTGTACACACAGACATTGCTACATCTCAAGCATTCTTGATGGTAAATCTGAAAACTCCCCCCTTTCTGCCTTGTACTTGAAGTCAGAGCACAGTGGCAAAATGTGGGATATAGTTGGTTGGTTATATTAAAGCACAACAAACTTGTGCTGGTTGGTTTTATAAGCCAATCATTTAACCAGCATTGAACCACACCAAAAACCCCAAATCCACTGCCGTTTACTTGAATCCCACCCAAGGTATAATTGTCCCCACAGGGTTCCCAAGACTGTAAATCTTTACAGGAGCCACTGCTACATCTTTGTCCCTCGGCAGAGGTGCTGACCCACCTTTTGGTTAGCAGTCAAGCGCTTCCTCGCCACGCCACCAAGGCTCCTGTATTAAACCACAGTACTCACCAACTACAGGAACGAAAGCAACTCCTTAGCTTTGAAAGGAGATGAGAGGAGGAGCCTACTGGTTGAGATGACTCATAATGCCTTCCGAGTAAAATTAGAACTTCAGACAGGCCACCACCATGCCGTGTCTGCGGAGGCAGTGAGGGGCTAGATGAAAGTTTACCCTGGGGAAAAGAGAGCTATCGTACTTCTTTCCATCCCAAAGGTATTTCTTTGTAACAAACCTGCCATTTCCTTTGTTACAAAATCAAAGCTTCACGGTGCCATCGATCTCAGGAGGACAATCAAATAACCTGCTGTCTGCTTGGATGCCGCGTGTCCAGTAGTCTCACGGTCCCGGTCTCCGGTTGTATACCTTCCAACCAGTGACTGACGAAACTGCCACCGAATCACCTGAGTTCTTCCTGTGCTCGTGCCCCTGCACCACCACCAATCCCAGGGAAGCCTGCAGCCTGTGCGTCCAGAAACCGGGCCTGCTAAGAGCGGGATCCTGGCCCAGCTTCCCTCCAGCACCTTCTCTGAAGTCCTTGCCTGTGGCAACACCAGCATGGTGGGAACAGGGCAAAAGGGAGGGAGGGTCCCGACAGAGTAACTGATCATGACATCGTTCTTCTTTTGCACTGTAAAATGAAACTGGTCCGCCCACATCACATTTGCAAAGCGAGCAGGACTGGCTCGATCACATTGTGGACAGGACGACTTTGCTATTTTCCTGATGGTATCGGCACTGAAGCTTGTATCAGTGATGAGTATTCAGGAGTCGGATGGGAAAAATGTCTTTTGTCTTTTCAAGCCCTCTCCCCTTCTCATGTTTGCTTCTCCTTCCCTTCACGCGCTGTGTTGGTCAAAATGATCCTGTCCTATGAAACCCTGAGCTGTAGTTGTCAGAAGTAACTATGGAATGTGATTAGTCCTCTGTGGGTGCTGCTTTCTCGCTGTTTCTCTTTTTTACTCTCTCCACTCTGAT